GTTGCCTAAGCTGGACTTGAACTTGTGATCCTCCTGCCTCAGCCTCCCAGAGTACCAGGATGAGAGGTGTGCACCACCACAGCCTGTTCGGCTTGTGGTTGTTGGGAGGGAGATGGTGGTACAGGGTGGGTCTCAGGCACCACGAGGAAGGGTCAGAGGACATTGCAGGGCTGCTCAGGCCTTCTGTTCCCCTCAGGAGGAGGCCACAGAGGGATCCCAAGAGGAGGACAGCCCCCCAGCACGCCTCCCCTCAGTGAGTGTCAGGGTAGGGATGGAGGCCAAGGTGTCTGGGGTTGAGTATGTTGGCTGACGGGGTCTGTGATGGCCGGAAGTGACCAGAGCTCTGGGCCCTGTAGAAACTGCCCTCAGGTCCTGTCCCTTACCTCGGCACCTTCCTCACTGACCTGGTTATGCTGGACACAGCCCTGCCGGATGTGTTGGAGGTGTGACTCTGACCCCTGACCCCTGACCCCAGCTGGCCTCCACCTCGCTCCTGCCTCACCCTCCCAACCCCGGTCCCTCAGCACAGCCCACTCCTGGCAACCCAGCTCTTGACCTCGACTCTTGGGGGGGGGGCTCCAGTTCAGACAAACTTTGCCCCCAGGGCGATCTCATCAATTTTGAGAAGCGGAGGAAGGTGAGTGGGCAGTGGGGTGGGCAAGGGGGCCCCCAGGGGTGGGGATGGCATGAGGCAGGGTCTCAGAGGCCGCCACCTCAGGAATGGGAGATCCTGGCCCGAATCCAGCAGCTTCAGCGGCGCTGTCGGAGCTACAGCCTGCGCCCCCACCCGCCCGTCCTGGCCGCCTTGCGCGCCCAGCGCCAGCTCAGCGAGGAGCAGAGGTAACCGCCCTGGGCCCAGCCCGCACCCCGCCCCAGCGGACCCCACACCCCCGACCGCACAGATCCATAGGCATCTGCCCAGCTCCTGCCAGGGGACCCTCTTCCACCTGCACTCCAACACTGACCTTGGTTTAAGTAGTCCAGGCTGGTGATCCTCCAGTTCCCGATGATCCTCCTGCCTCAGCCTCCTCAGGGCCCAGATTACTGGCTATAGGCGTGTGCCACCACGACTGGCTCCTATCTGACACTCTGACTTGAACCTGTAATGTTCAGTTTAATTCTCCCAACTGTTCCCTTTTCCAGCTTCTGACCCCATCTGACCAATGCTCACCTTTGAGACCTCCCTCATCCAAATCAGTCTCTCTGTCTCTCGTTTTTTTATTTTTGTGGTGCTGGGAAGGAACCAAGGGCTTTCATACTGAACGACTTTCCCAGCCTCTTTTTTTTTCCTTTTTTAAAGCTTGAGACAGGTTCTCACTAAGTTGCCCAGGCTGGGCTCAAATTTGCAGTTCTCCTGCCTCAGCTTCCTTTATGGGCGTGTTCACCAGGCCTGGCCCCATCTGAATCTCTGATCCCCAGTTCTGAGTAATTGCCTGTAACTTTGCTGTTTATTTGGCCATCCAGCTCAGCTATCCCAAATACTGGCTTTCATTCTGTGGAACCCGTGACCTTCAGCACCAACTCCATTAATTACCTAGCCCTGAGGGGTTGTTTTGAGACAGGTTTTCCCTGTGTAGTTCAGGTTAACCTTGAGGTGAACCTCCTGTCTGGACCTTTCAAAAGTACTGGGGTTAACCTGTGTGCCACCACACCTGGCCTTGAACTTTCTTGTTTGTTTTGGTTTGAGACAGACTCTTGCTATGTAGCCCAGGCTGGCCTTGAACTGACCATGTAGCCCAGGCTGGCCTTGAACTCATGGTGATCTTCCTGCCTCAGCCTCCTGAGTGTTGGGATGACAGGCCTGAGCCACCTTGCTTCTGTCCGGCCTTGAACTTTAACCTTGGCCCTATTGGACTCCTTAGCGCCACCCCCAGCTTCTCGTGAGAGTTGCCAGGCATGATATCCCCTCAGCCCTAAGGCCCCCGGATGCCTCTGTGAACTCCCTGGCCTTCGAACCTGACTCCCGACTGAATCTCCCCCGCCCCCTCATTCCCCTCCCCCCGCCCCTTCCCTTGGCCACGGCGCAGCTACCGAGTCTCCCGCGTCATTGAGCCCCCGGCCGCCTCCTGTCCCAGCTCCCCCAGCATCCGGCGCCGTATCAGCCTCACCAAGCGGCTCAGTGCGTGAGTGTCGGGGGGTGTGCGGGGTGATGTGGGGGCACTGCTCCGGGCCGATCTGAGCCCAGCCGCCCCCATCCTCAGGAAGCTGTCCCGGGAGAAGAGCACCTCCCCCGGTGGAAGTCCCGGGGACCCCGCATCACCCAGCTCCAGGTGAGCGTCCCGGGCCGGGCCGGGCGTAGACGGCAGGCCCGAGCGGGGCAGCCACCCCACCTTGGCTCTGCGTGTCCCCAGTCTGTCCCCAGGGTCGCCCCCCTCCAGTCCCAGAGCCAAGGACCCTCCCGCCGGAAGTCCCCCTGGCTCTCCAGGCCCCCGGGGCTCCTGCACCAAGGTATCCAGGCCGCCTCTGTTTGACTGCGGGACCCCAGGACTCTGTGTGTGTGCACACGCGTGTGTAAGTGGGCGTGTGTGTGCACACAGGATGGCAGGCTTAGGCACAGGCTGGGCCATCACCCGCCCGGGTAGTAGTTTCTCTCATGTGGACGACAGGGCATTCCTGGACGCTGTCGTTCTTATTTATTTATTTATTTTTGTCTTTTTGAGACAGGGTCTCGCTATGCAGTTCAGGCTGGCCTTGAGCTCACTTTGTAGCTCAGCCTGGTCTGGAACTCACAGTGATCCTCCTGCCTCAGCCTCCTGCCTGCTGGGATTACAGGCGTGCGCCACCATGCCTGGCTTAATTAATTAACTTGTGGTGCTAGGGACTGAGCCTAGAGCCCCTGCGTACACTGAGCTCCATCCTCAGCCATTTTTTAATTTTTATTTTCAAACTGAGTCTAACGCCCAGCGTGGTGGCACATGCCTGTAATCCCAGCACTCGGGAGACTGAGGCAGGAGGATTGTTGCAAGTTCGAGGCCAGCCTGGGCTACAAAGTGAGCTCAAGTTCACCCTGAACTGCGTAGCGAGACTCTGTCTCAAAAAGACCAAAAAAAAAAAAAAAAAAAAAAAAAACCAGTCTAAGTTGCTAAGTTGCCCAGGTGAGCTCAGACTTGTGATCTTCCTGCCTCAGCCTCCCAGAGTGCTGGGATGACAGGCGTGCACCACTGCACTCAGTACAATCACTCACTTTTTCGAGGACACCCCAGTCTCCACACTGAAGGGAAAGTGGGGACCCGAATACCCACAGGACAGTGGGTGCAGTGGGTGGAGTTTTCAGTGACACTGGCTTGGCGTGGCCATGGCCGTGTGTGTGTATGTACAAGCTTCTTTCCCCGGGCCCAGGAGTTCTTGCGCTAAATGTGGGTTTTGTGTGTATGTATATGGGCCAGGGGTGCCTTTGTCTCTGTAACCACAACTGAGGTGTCTGTGTGATCAGGAGGGGAAGATGGGTGCCTCTGGGTGCTACCCTGGGTGTGGGGGGATTTGTGGCTTTGTGTTCCCAGGATTGCGAACACACCAATGTGTATACACCAGTGAGATGTGGGCATGGTGGCCCACGCTTGCATTCCTAGTACTCTGAGAGGCTGAGGCAGGAGGATTGCAAGTTCCAGCCCAGCCTGGTCAACTTAGTGACTTAGCAAGACCCTGTCTCAAAGTAAAAAATGAAAAGGGCTAGGGATGGAGCTCAGTGCAAAGGCCCAGGGTTCCATCCCCAGCAGCGCCACAAAATAAAATAGAACTGGGGGGTGGGGCCTGTGGTCCCCATTCTTCAGCTCCTCCACCGCCCACAGCGGCCCCTGAGCCTGGACCTGCCCGGCCCCCGGGCCCCCGTGTTGCCCCTGAGCAGCCCTCGCGCCCCACTCCCTGGAGAGCAGAGCTCGGAAGCCCGTGTCATCCGCGTGAGCATCGACAACGACCACGGCAACCTGTACCGCAGCATCCTGGTGAGGGGCGGGGCTGCCGGGGAGCCCCGCCCCTGGGACCCGCCGCCGCTCACCTCCGGCCCCCTCCTCCAGCTCACCAGCCAGGACAAAGCCCCCGCTGTGGTCCAGCGCGCCCTGGAGAAGCATAACGTGCCGCAGCCCCGGGCCCAGGCCTACCAGCTCTTCCAGGTCCTCCCTGGGGACAGAGGTGAGCAGGGACGGCTGGGGACAGTCCGAGCGGGGCGGGGTGGGGTCTGGCCGGGTCAAGGAAGGAGCCCAGTGTTGCCTGAGCTCCGGACCTGCCCCTTTTCTCCTGTACGGACTTGTGGGTAAGAAGGCGGGGAGGAGCCCAAGGGGTGAGGATGTGGGGTGACCCGATTGTCCTCACTAGCTCACTGTGAGGATGGTGGCGCCAGAGGGCATCTTCTTGAGGTTGATGGGATGGTGAGATTGTCTAGGATAAAATGTGAGAAGTGGGTCTGATGGTGCCTGCCTGTGATCCCAGTGCTTTGGGAGGCTGAGGCAGGAGGATTGCAAGTTTGAGGCCAGCCTGGAGAACTTAACAAAATAAAACAAAGTACAAAGGGCTGGGGATGTAGGCCAGTGGCACAGCGCCTGTGTACCATGTGCAGAGTCCTGGGTTTAACCCCAGCACCATGAAAAAGGAAAAGACAGAAAGCCCTGAGGTGGTTTGGACTCCGCCTGGTGTGGCAGGAGACAGGAGTTTGTCCAGGCTCGCTGGGGGCTCCCTGAGCTTGGGATGGGAGTGTCCACAGGATCCTGAACTCAGGGTCAGGGAGCACAAGGGACGGTTCGGTGACAAGGCGGGTGACGGGTTGTCCAGCATCGGATGGGGAGAAGCAAGAGGTTGGGTACGTGTGCTGAGCAGTATGAGGTTAGCCGAACACGGAAAAACACACATGAGGTTCGCTGGGTGTGGTGGCGTACACCTGTATTCCCAGCGCCTGGGAGGCTGAGGCGGGAGGATTGCTGCGAGCCCAAGGCCAGCCTGGGCTACATAGTGAGCTCAAGGGTGCTACATCTGTTGTTCAGTGTCGATGCGAAAGCCAGGAGGCCGTGCCGGTGGGAAGTTAGGAAAGTCCCCGGCGGCTGCAGCCTGCGCTCTGCTGGGGGTGGCGTGGAGGAGAGCGGGGTGTGTGAGAGGTCACTGGAGTGGGGGCTTCCGTTTGCTCACGCTGCTGTGGTGAAGCGTGTGATGGGAATGGTACAGGGTTGCCCAGCCCTTCAGCTGGGGGGCTCACGAGGAGGTGCAGGCTTCCAGCTGGAAGTTGCTCCAGTCCGCAGAGACGGACAGAGAGGTCTGGCTCTGCAGTAGCTGGAGGGACGCGAGGCCGTGCAGGCTTTGGGCTGCACGGTGGAAGGTTCCCCGGCCTTCCGCGGAGGAGACACCTGTGGTGCGGTGGACCTAACCGCCGTGGTCTCTGCTTCCGACCAGAGTTCCCGATTCCCGACAACGCCAATGTCTTCTACGCCATGAGTCCGGCCGCCCCCGGAGACTTCGTGCTGCGGCGGAAGGAGGGGGCTCGGCCGGCAGGCTCTGTCCCCCCGACCTGAGGGAGCCCTCTCCTCCCTCCAGCCCAGAGCGCAGAGCCTTCTGTCACACTGGAGGGAGCCGCTCCTGAAAAGCAACCCCCTCCGGGAGGCCACTGTGTGCTGTGCTGCGGGGCACCTGCCCCAGCTTAGCCCATCGGAGGCCGCCACGCTGATGCCTTGGGCGCGGGATCTCTCTTTCAAAGGCATTAATCCACACATGGCTGCCATGACAATAAAAATGAAAAGCAAACTAAGAGCCCTAAGAGAGGAATTGAACTCTGGTATGATAGTGCATGCCCGTGATCCCAGCATTCAGGAGGCTGAGGCAGGAGGATCCCAGAGAGTTAGAGGCCGTCCTGGGCTACATAGCAAGACCCTGTCTCAAAAATCAGAAACAATAACAAAAAAGGATAGAATGAATCATGGTGGATGCCAGAAGGCCTCATACACACAGGGGCCAGGATCCCCCCGCCAAGTTTTTGGGGGTAATTGGGTTTTATTCTGCCATGTATATACGAGGAAATTGAAAACTGGATCAGAGACAAATAACTTCACCGCGTAGGAATCAGTGAGGATAGGAAGGAGGAGAAGGACTGACCCATCAATCACCCTGGGGTAGGAAGAACAAACATGTAAAAAGGATCAAGGCGCTGTATATGTGTGCACCAATTCCCCCCAGTGAGTGTATTATGCATCACAAATACTGATTTTTAAAAGCGGGGGGTGGGGTGGGGGTGGCAGGCATGGTGGCACACGCCTGTCATCCCAGCACTCGGGAGGCTGAGGCAGGAGGATCCTTGTGAGTTCAAGACCAGCCTGGGCTACAAAGTGAGCTCAAGGCCAGCCTGAACTGCATAGCGAGACCCTGCCTCAAAAAGACCAAAAAAAAAAAAAAAAAAAAAAAAAAAGTGCTCAGGGTGGGACTGCAAAGACAGTCACAATGCCAGCAAGGAAAGTAGCAAGCGCACGGACGGCTTCTGTCCGAACTGGACCCCGCGGAGGGCCTTTGCATCTCCCATAGTTTGCAGGGGTCTTTGTTTCAAGCGAGCCTGGGCCCAAAAGAAAACATGGTCTTTAATTGGAAAGCACAGTGGACCCCACGTCAGGCGCCCTGGGACCCCCCAAAAGACCTGTCGGGGTTTTGTTCCCGTCTCTTAGCTCTGGTTTGCTCTGACACCGAGACCGTCCATTGTCCTCCTCAAAGCCAGGCACCTTCAGCGGTAACACAGCCGCTGATTTTTAGCTTGCCGCTCCAAGTAAAAGCCGCATTCCTGCCATGCAGCAAGATAAGTGTGGGCCTGTAAGATATCCAGGGAAGAAGGAGAATGAATCATCTTGGCTTGGCTGGTTCGCATCCTCTGAGCAGCAAGCTGGAAGGCGCCTGGGGCTCTGACACCGTGGAGCTTGCTGCTACTTGGAGTGTTACCTCAGAGAGAAATAAAGTCCATCTCACCGAAGACACTAATATTTGGTTCTCTGTGACAGTAACCAAGTGAACTTTGTTTGAGACAGGGACTACACAGGGTTGCTGTGTAATCCACAGTGGTCTCAAATTTGAGATCCTCCTGCCTCAGCCTCCAGAGTGCTGGGATTAACAGACCTATGCCACCACACATAGTTTATTTCCTTAATTTTTGTCTTTTTGAGACAGGATCTCGCTGTGCAGATCAGGCTGGCCTTGAGCTCACTTTGTAGCCTAAGCTGGTCTCCAACTCACAAGGATCCTCCTGCCTCAGCCTCCCGAGTGCTGTGCCACCACGCCCGGCCCATACACAGTTTAAAACAATGTTTTAATTTATATGGCCCACATTTCACCAGGCTGCAGTGCCAGACTTTCATCCCAGCACCTCCACTCTCTCATACAGAGCCCTTCCTGCCCACCAGCTCCCAAACATTCCCATTGGATGAGCTTGGACCATGTGTCCATCCCTGAACCAATCGTTGTGTTTGGAAGAATGTAAAAGGGCAGATTGGGGCCCCATGCTCACCCCTTGGCTGGCAAACTTCACACAGGGGTGGGATTATCACAGAGCAGGTTCCTATTGGGGAAGCTTGAGCCATGTCCATCCTTGAGCCAATCACTGTGTTTGGAGGAATTAATATGCAAATTAGAGGCCCCATGCTTTCCTCAGGCAAACAGTCTTCACAGAAGGGTAGAGTTTTGGAGAGTCCTACAGAGAAATTTAAATGAAGGTGCTAGCTGGGTGTGGTGGCACACACCTGTAACCCCAGCATGTGGGAGGCTGAGGCAGGAAGATTACCTTGAGTTCAAGGCCAACCTGACCTATCTCAAAAAAAAAAAAAAAAAAAAGGTGCTGTTACTAGGAGGGGGGAAACGGGTGTACGCACACACACAAAAATATGATTCTAAATTTTGTCAGCTGAAAAATAATGGACTACACTCAGGCACTATCTGGTGTAGATGAAAAGACAAGAATGAAATGTATAAGGTCTTGTGAAAGATCGATGGCAGTACTTCTACTACTTTACGGGGTTTATTTTTTCTGCTGTGTGTAGTAGGACCATGTGAAGGGCTGGGGATTTAGCTCAGCCGCACAGCGCCTGCCTGGCAAGCACAAGGTTGTGAGTTTGATTCCCGGTACCAGAAAAAAAAAAAAAATTTTTTTTAAGACCATCTGAATGTGACTGCATCCTATTAGAACCAGCCTAAGCAAGTTCAGTAATTCCTGTCCCTACAGAGCACTTACTATGTGCTGGTTTTATTCTGAGAACTTGACTTAATCTACCCTTCCCCTGCCCGGCATGGATCGAACCCAGGAAGCACTGAGCTACATCTCAGCCCTTTTTATTTTTTCACTTTGAGACAAGGTCCTGCTAAATTGCCCAGGCTGGGCTTGAACTTGTGATCCTCCTGCTTTAGCTTCCTGAGTAGCTGGGATTACAGGTGTACATTGCTGTGATTGGGTTAATCTAGTTCATTTAGTTTTCACTATAGTCCTGTGGAATTAGGGATACTGTTATTATCGCCATTTTTCACATGAAGAACTGAGACTATTGAGGCTTGAGTTCTTGGTCACCCAAACTGTAAGTAGCTAGTGTTCAAACCTGGATAGTGTAACTCCAGAACAGGTCATTTAGCAATGGGGCTAAATTTGACTCATAATTATTTCTGTTTCTGCATAATTATTTCTGTTTCTGTATCTCAATGCTGGGCTCTGACTCACAGGGGTCCTCCTGCCTCAGCCTCCCCAGTGGTAGGATTACAGGCATGCACCACCACCACCCCACCCTGCTAATTTTTATTTTCGAT